CATACGAAGGGCCGCTCTGCCCTGTCCCCGGTGGGTCCTGCAGCCCTGCCCTGGAATAAGCCAGCCTCGGAGGGCTCCTCTGCCCGGCCCTCTGCCCGGCCCTCATGGTCCTGCTTCACCTGCCCCCGCCGGGCCCGTGCATCTCAGGGTTCAGGCGCCCCCATGGCCCGAGGCCCAGGCTGGCCCCTGTGGGCTCCCCGCATGCTGCTGTTCACCTCCTGGCTTTGGCTCATGCCTGTCCTTCTGCTGGGACTCTCGTCAGCTACTCGTCACTGACTTCCCGACATTACGTAGGTTTTGGCTTCGACGTCACTTTTTCCTCCGAGATGTCTGTCTTTCTTCATCTTTTGACAGAAAATTGAACTATGGTTGACTTACAATGTTGTGTTGGTTTCAAATATACAGCAAAATGATTCAGTTGTATATATTTTTTCAGATTTTTTCCATTATAGTTTATCACAAAACACTGAATGTAATTCTGCATGCCATACATCTATTTTATACATAGTAGTGTGTATGTGTAATGTTAATCTCATGCTCCTAATTTATCTCTCCCCTCTCCTTTCTTCTTTGATCACTGTAAGTTTGCTTCTTATGTTTGTGAGTGTTTCTGTTTATCAATGTTTGTATTACTCTTTTGACTCCACATGTAAGTGATATTATTTAATATTTGTCTTTCTCTGTCTGACTCACTTCACTTAGTCTGATAGTTTCTAGGTCCATCTATGTTGCTGCAAGTGGCATGACTTCCTTCCGTCTGAGTAACATTCCACTGTATGTATGCACCACGCCTTCTTAATCCCTTCCTCTGTTGATGGACATTTAGGCTGCTTCCATCTCTGGGCTGTGGTAAATAGCGCTTCAGTGAACACTGAGGCGCATGTGTCTTTTTGAGTTAGAGTTTCCTCTGGATGTATGCCCGGGAGTGGGATTGCTGGATCTTACGGTAGCTCTGTTTCTGGTTCTCTAAGGAATCCCCATACTGTTCCCCCTAGTGGCTGCACCAGTTTGTATTAACAACAGTGTAGCAGGATTCCCTTTTCTCCACGCCTTCTGCAAGATGTCTCTCCTGTGCCAAAGCCTGGCATGGCTCCCCTTCTCTGGCCACCTGTGCCCCCCAGCACCCTGGCCGGTCAACCACTCTCTCTTCCGTGGACATGTCTCTGCACCCTAGGCTCCGTGCGGTCCTGGGCAGTGTCTCCTCGCCCTTCTCCCTTGGGGCCTGGAGGGCATTTTACTCATGGGCATGTTGATAAGGGCTGGTTGAGTGAGTTGACAGAGTGTTGAGAGAAGAACACGTCTTCATAGAAGCAGACACAAAAGGGAGGGAAGAGGCGAGGATGGATGGGGACTGCTGAGTCAGTGTGACAGCGAAAGCCACGAAAGGCGGCTTCTCGGGTCCTGTTGGCTCTGATCCCTGCAGCAGTCGTGGGAGAGAGCTAGTATCCTCCCCTCCTTCCCTGTCTTTTACTCTCAAAGACCAAGTGGGCAGAGACATTAACTTGGCCTGTGTCACGTATGCAGCAAGTGTGTAGGGCCAGGGTTTTCCTCTCGCTTTATTCCACTCTCAACCCAAATTTTCAGCAAGGTCAGGATATGAGTCCTAGGAAACAAAATCCTGAGAAATGTGTCCAGAGTGTGTGATTGTCAAGTCATCCATCCTGCCATGTACACCTTGACAGGCCTGGGACAACCCAGTTCCCTGCTCTGGGCCTCAGTTTCTTTACCTGAAACAAGACATTTGGGCATTGGATTAGGTGATTTCAAACAATGTCTGTCCAGCTCAAAAATATTCTGGAAGTATGCACAGTTTATGGGAAAAAAAGCATACATTTTGGAAATTCAGTGATTGAGGCAACAGCTGTCAGCATATTTTTGTTCTGTCTTTTAAAAATAGATTATACAGAAGTGTGTGTATGTGTGGTTGTGTGTGTGTGTGTGTGCTCACATGCATATGAACCCATGAATTGAACAGTGACAAGTATACCTTTTAATGAGTGCTGTTCCCTCTCAGAAGCCTCAGGGACAAAATAAATAAGTTGTTGATAGTGCTAATCTGGAATCAGACCAAATACTGTGGGTGCTGTCAACGTACGTGTCTTGATTTACCTAGGTTTCTGTTCAAGTGGCGTCTCTCCTTTAATTTAAGGAGACAATCAGTTCAACATGAAAAGTTGTGGACTATGAGGGACAGGAGGTGATGGTGAATAAGCCTGGTAGAATGGCACGAGGAGGCAGGCCCTGATGAGAAGGTATTGTCGGCAATACCCAATGAGAAGGGAGGCTTGTTGCTATCTGTAGTTTGTACTTGGTTTAACATGAAGGGCAATTGTAGTTTACAAAAATATTTAGGTTAAATGGATGCTTAATAAGCTGTTCATGGATTTTCCTGCAAGGTGGTTTCTTTCTGATGGAGGAATTCTATCATTTGTTCATTCATTCACACACACACACACACACACGCGCACGCGCGCGCGCTCTCTCTGTCTTCAACAATGAACCAGATACTGTACTTGGCAATGATGAGAGGTCCCTGCTGACACAGAGTTTATGAACTAGTTGGGGAGTGCAACAGGCAGACTGGTGGACACCTGATGATGTCCACATCCTGATCCCTGGAACCGGGGATTATGTGGCAAAAGGGACTTGAGAGATGTGAAGGATCTGCATATTCATCCTGAATCACCGAGTTGGGCCCAGTGTAGTCATAAGCATCCTCGACATGGAGGAGAGGGAAGAAGAGTCAGGAGGTTTTGAAGATGCAAGAAGGGACCATGAGCCCAGGAATGCAGATGTCTTCCAGAAGCTGGAGGAGGCAAAGAAATGGATTCCCTCCTGGTGCCTCCAGAAGGAGGCTGATGCCTCTGCTGATGCCTGACTTTATCCCAGGGAGGGTGATCTTGGATTTCTGACCTCCGGAACTATCAGCAAATAAATGTGTGTGGTTTTAAGCCTAGTGGCTCAGACGGTAAAGCATCTGTCTACAATGCTGGAGACCTGGGTTCAATCCCTGGGTTGGGAAGATCCTCTGGAGAAGGAAATGGCAACCCACTCCAGTACTCTTGCCTGGAAAATCCCACTGATGGAAGAGCCTGGTAGGCTACAGTCCATCTGGTCTCAAAGAGTTGGACACGACTGAGTGACTTCACCTTACCTTAACTTAAGCCACTAAGTTTGTGATACCTTGTTAAACAGCACAAGGAAACTAACACTTTAATCAGGAAATCAGAAGGCTAAATATATCAATGCTCAAACTGAGGAGTGGTGGGAAGGAGGAAAACTGAGTGTTGTGAGAAGGTCCAACTGAGGTCCCAAATGGTTGGGGAAGATGCCTCCGGGCTTCCCTGGGGAGAAGGACATTGGTGCCTTGGGGCCGTGTGGGTGGGGAGGAAATTCCACATGTTCTCTGTGGGAGGGCCCCAACCGGGGAAGGACTAGGGCACAGATCAGGGAGTGAAGGGAGGCCAGAGGGCCTGGTTCACAGCGTGGGAGGACACAGGGCAAACTCTGCCTGGAAACGGGCTGCTGGATCAGGCGGAGTCTCTGTAAACCAGCTGAGGGATTTGGGTTCTCAACCTAAGAGAAATGAGAATATTCTGAATAGTGTTAAATCACAGGGAAATAAGGTCAGATCTGTACTTTTGATCTGCGTTTTCTAATGCAGTAGCCACTATGTGTAGCTATGTAAATTTAAATGAATAAAAATTAGTTTAGAAAATTCAGCTTCTTAGTGACAGGAGCCCACATTTTAAACGGTCACTAGCCCCATGCGGCTAGTCGCTACCAAACCCAGACAGGACAGAGAACAAGTTCAGCGCTGGAGAAGTTCTGCGGGACTGTGCTTCTGTAGAGGAAACATTCTGCAGAGGGGAGTGTGAACTGGGGAGGGAGATAGGAATAGATGTGGGAGAGAAGGGGAGGGCTCTCCTCAATACCCGAGGTGGAACTGGATGCTGTGTCAGTCTGAGATGGCAGCAGATGTGGACCTGAGTGGGCAGATTTGAAATCTGTGCAGGAGGGACCTCTGGATTTGGGGGAGTTTCTGCCTCCCTTAGAAGTGTTGCTTCATTTCATGGGGCCTCAAATTCCTCATCTGTGAATGAGAGTAAAACCTGCTTGAAAGTGGATATTGCAGGGGAAAAGCCCTGGCATGATGGGTGTCCAATAAAGTGTACATTTCATATTCTTTATAAGTCTCCATCTTGAAACTGTCAATCAGATATCAAGATCCAGGTGGGTCACCTTGGAGTTATTAATAAAAGCACCCACTGACCAGGTGAGCTCTCTGTCTCATGAGCGGAGCCTGATCAGAGAATCTCCCATTCATCTGGACAAGCCCTAAGTCTAGAACTGCGCTTGGGCGTGAAGGTCACGGGGAAAGGTACAAGGGGAAAGAGCCGTATGTGGAAAATGAGCAATTCTGTTCCCACCACGACGGCGGGGCGCCCAAATGGAGCTATTTTACAGTGAGAACACCACGTAGGACCACACTAGGAGAGCAAGCTTGGGGGAGGCAAAGAGAAGAGCGTGCCATCCGTGTAGAGAAGATAATTGAATCCATGGGAGGTCGACTGGGGCTCATTTCACACGGAACCGCACAACAGCGCATGGCTCGCTCAAAGACAATACAGGCCTTCAAAGGGAACTGCCAAGGGGAGTGCATTTCGCCATTAAGGGCACAACATACTCTAAGTGAGACACATTGTTATGCCTCTTCTTCCCAGCCACAGCCTGGAAATAGCCATAAAGGAAATGAAGTATATTTGCCTTGTTAACACAGTTTGTATTACATATTCATAAACCATTTTGTGAAACTGCAAGGGAAAGATTCAATTGTCTTGGAAGCTGATAATGGCCAAACTGCCATAGAGAAAGCAGGCAGCATGTTATGGAATTAGCTGCACAATGAATGAAATGCAACGCCTATAATAAACCCATTCAGATATAAATTATGGCCGAGTAGATGCAATGTTTGTTAAGCAATAAAGCTTGCCACCCTGCATGGGAAATTGAATGAGATTTATCATAAAATATGGCGGAGGATGTGCTAAGAATCTGACGCCCCAGACTGGGTTTAATCAAAGCAATCTAGAGAGCAGGCTTCCAGGAACAGGAAACCAAGAGAGAACGACAGCAGCAGGTCCAAAGGGCGTTATGACATTATGACTCGAAATACTCTTGGTCTCAGCAGTTCCACCAAGAGTGCTTGAATTTTGGAAAAAGCCAGCTCTGCTTTGATTTTTCCTTTGAGAATTATCAAAATGCCTTTAGCTCTGGGAATACAAAATGTGACCAATAATTGAGTTCCTGGTTGGCCAGGGCAATAATTGAATTCAGGGGCAGGGAACTTGTCCAAGTGACACAGGGCTCTTGGTTTCCCTTGGAAATGGTTGAGACCGATGATCCCCAGGGAGCCAGTTGGCTTTTAGACCACATTGTCAGATGTTTAACTGGGTCCTTGCAGGGCATGTGGCTCATTTTCTCAGAAGACCTCCCATGAATCTTCCATGCACGGTGCTAAATGAATATGAGGGCATGTTGTGTGACGTCTCCTGGAGCTGGAGCTTGGGTTTATATCAGACTCCACTTTCTGGGAAAAATAAAATGAAACCAAATAAAATAAAACAAGTATTAACCCAGCATGATGCAGTCTTTCTGGTATTGTTACTTGAAAATAACTGCAAATATTTTATGGCTTTATAAGTTGGAGTCAATGATTTCAGTGTATTGAGAACAATGAAAAATACCTTAGGAATGTAATATAGTCCCAGAGTTGGATTAACAGCGTTCGGAAGCCAAAAGGAATTTTCTGCCTGCTAATAACATTACCCTGAAATCTAATGAAATAATCTCCCTAAAGTCAAGTTTATTCTCCCATTTGCTGTTTAAAATAAAACAAGCAAATGTCTTCTTTGGTCAGCTCATCACTCAGTCCATATACCATCAAATTATGCTTCAGATAGCAAAATTGTATGGCTTAAATGGGTCGATTATGAGGTTTTAGAAATACAAATTATTTCCAACCTTCAGTGAAGTAGGCAGAAAATTTGAATTTGACAACAGGCTTCAACACACTCCCAAAGAAGCCTAAAACAGCACACACTTTGGAGATTTTACTGGTGACTTCAGCCACACCATACTCACTGTGTGTGTGTGTGTGTGTGTAAATGTCAATATATACAAATACGTACATATGTATATAAGCGTATGTATACATTTTACACACATGTATATATGAACAATGATGTATATAAAACAAGAAAAGAGAAGTATTAACAAAAAAGATTGGAAAAATCAGAAGTTGTATCAGATTATAATAAATTGATAATAAATCTTTTCTTCCCTCTTCTCATCAACCCCCATTCTCCACACTCCTCCCCCAACTAAGATGAAACAAGTGCTAAGTATTTGGAAAGGTGATCAGAACAATAGGATACTGACATAAAACATAAAGATGATGATGGCTCTCAATACCTTATCTAGAAGGATAATGCCAACAGCTGCATTCCTATTGGCTGTTAACTTTCCTTACTATCGTCTCATTGGCTTTTTGCAGAAATCACTCCCGGGAAGGCACCTCCATTGCCGTTTTCTGGGTTAGGGAATCAAGAAGCTCATGCATTATTAAAAAATCCCTTCAGGTACAAGAAATAAGGCCCCTGGACTTGAAGTGATGAAGGGTTGATTTGTCCTACATAACAGGAAGTCTGGCGGTTAGCCTTTCAGAGCAGAATGTGCCAACAGATATCTAGACTTTTTCTCTCTTTCCTCACCATCACCCTCTAGACTTTGCAGAATGAAGAAAGGTGAAGGGTCACACCCCCAAAATAGGTCCTTTTTTACCACGAAAATCAAAGGTTTGCCAGTGGCCCCATTCTGCAGATTTCTTTACTTTCATTCCCCTGATCAGAAGTGGCCAGGGAGAAAGGGGGGTGTGGATGTAATATTGTGTGTGAACTAGTACATGTTGATCTGCACTTGCCCAATTAGCACTTCTATATACTAGCGTTTACATGAACTTGAGATGGATTGGACAGACCCACACAACACAAGATTTTTAAGTTCTGGTTTATGATTCTGAATTAGTTTAACCAACAAGGATAATTTAGCATCATTTCTGAACCATTTAGCTTTCATGGGAAGGCTAGGACTGGGTTTTTAAAGCTATGTGAGCAGCAGGGCCTCTACTTTCAGTTGAAAACTCTGATGTGCGTGATAGGCCTCAGTGAAGTGAGCCCTCTGTAGTCCTCCCCACACTGTGCCTTACGGGTTGACTAACCAGCATCACGGTGATTGTGTACCTAGAGCGCCGGCTGAGAGTTTCGGAATCCAAGATAAAGAAAGAAAGAATATGCTTTCCCTTTAAAAAAATTTCTTCATCATCTTGGTCGGTCCAGCCAACCACCGTCTTGACTCAGTACAAGACTCAGCAACTTGGTACAGATGCCATTTGGTATCCCTGATTCAGTGTGGCCGTTTCCACAGCATGAATGCTTCCACACACCATGCAGATGTGAGGGAAGAAGAGAAAAGAGCTGAAAAGTACACTACAGACCCAGCTTGCCTTTAAGGCAACCCTCAGTGAATGTGAGAGCTAATGCTACATCCTCCAATTACATCACCTGCACTTAGTTCAAAGCACAGAGTCTCTGTTGAACTCAGGCTTTGGCTGAGGTAGAAACTTTCTCTGAGTTTCAGTTACCTGTTATTGTGCAATGAACCATCCTAAAATAGAGTGACTTAAAACAGTACCATGCATTGGCTCACAGCACTGCAATTTCAAGGGCTGGGGTGTTCGCGGTTTGTCTCTGTACTAGCTGACGTTGCTGTCAGTGTAACTCATTCATCTGGGAGTCGTCCAGGAGTCCAGGCTGACCTTTTACACATGGCAGCTGGATCCCAAGAAAGTGAAGGTGGACACTTCCAGGCCTCGTCAGTGCTAGATTCCAGGATTTAACACATGTTTGTGCCACATTGCGTTGGTCATAGCAACACACTGGCCAGCCCAGATTCCAGGGGAGGAGAATTACAGTGCAACCGTTGATGCAAACAGTGGCGTGTGCTCAGGTGGGTGGGAGGGATTCTTGGTGGCCAGCTTTGCAGGCAGCCTACACACCCGAGACTGACTTTTCCTGAAGACTGTAAAGGTTCCCACAAGGAATCTTTGCCCTTCCAGGAACCTGCCCATCCCTCAGGTGGAGAATGGTGTGGACAGCTTCAGAGCAAGGGATTAAAGTTGGGTTGCTGGATTCTAAGCCTGTCTGTCTCGCTGGCTCACTGTCAAATCTTGATCAAGTTATTTACTGTGTTTGAGCTTCAGTGTTCTCAGTAAAATGAAGATAATAGCAGTGCTCTCCTCAAAGGCTATTCACAGTATTTTCCAGAGTTAATCCGCCTAAACCATTTAGGACAGTGCCTAATACATGGTCGGGGTTCAATAATATTGATTCGTGGCTGTCTCTTGCTCTTCTGTGAGTTTCTGAGGGCAGGCATGGTGGTGTCGCCCCTGTGATCTGGGACCTGGTAAAGATTTCAGTGTGTGGAGGTGGGTGCTCGGGGACCTGTGGTAAGTGAACAGTGAGCCAGGCTGTCCTTTTCTTTCATTATGCCCATCTGAAGGCAAATATTTAATTTCAAAAAGCTATGAGTTGGGGTGGCATATATCATGTGTGCCAGAGAAATGAACACTTTTTCATCCATTCAGCAGATATTATGAGCACCAGTTATGAGCTGGGGAGTCCATTATGTACACGAAGGGCCATGGTGTATAAACCAAGGGTTTCCGCCCTTGTGGTAGTTACGTTCTAGTGAGGGGAGAAAACAAATGACCTTGAGATAGTGGATAGTGATGCACCATTTGGAGATTCTAGCTATATGATAGTGTTTGGTTGAACCAGGAATGGGATGAGATGCAGCTTTGGGTTGGTGGAACTCCCAACTTTTCCAAAAAGTTAGGATTTCAGGAGAAACCTTGAGGAGAATAAGTCAGTCATTTGGAGGTGTGTGGGCAGAGTCTTCCAGAAAGAGAGAGGAGCAAGAACAGAGACGTTTTGTGGAAATGAGCATAGAGTTTAAAGACACCGGGAAGTCCCGTATGCCTGGATCTTGACGAGCCAAGGGGAGAAAAGGTAGACGGGCTAAACGGGCTAAACGGGGTGGTGCTTCTGATTCACGTTTCCCTGCAAGTGCAGGGGATACCGTTAGACATGGAGGGGAAGTAGCTTCCCTTTCTTGTGTTCCGTTCTTGGGTGATTTTACTGCTGACAGCCAGCCAGCAGCCATGACTGACCCTATGCACACAGAACTTGGGAAATCCCGTTCTTAAGGTATGCGTGTGTGCGAGTAGGTAGTGGTGGTGGTAGTTTAGGCTGGTGGAGAGGGTCCTCTTCCGATAGCACTGGAAATACATTGAGTCCCCCAAGCAAATCTAGATGGTCCAGGTTCTTTCTGTACCAAGAATGAAATGATGATGATGCCTAACAGTGGCGGCCACTGGTTTCATTTTGACTACGTGCCGGGCACCATTAAGTGCCTCACAGACATCATGTTTGATTCTCACACACGCCCAAGAGCTCGCTGCTGTCGGCATCTGGGTTTTACAGATAAACATGCTGAGATCTGAGAGGTGAAGTGCCTAGCCCGGAGGTTAACCCTCTCGGGATTTGAGTCCGAAGCTCTGGACCTTTTATTTTCAGCACATTTCAAAGTTCTGCTCATCTGCATCTCCTCCCATAAAGTCTCCCCGGACGGTGCAGATAGATGGGGACTGAAACTCAATGATCAGTTACAAGATGTTCTCTAGAACTTGTGGAAATCATAGGGTGGGTGAGCTGGTTTCGCAACAATGGTCCTAATGAGCCATTTAGCGACGAGCATGCACATGTGTGGGAGAGGCGCAGCGCAGCCCGCCCTTGGCACACATTTGTGTCATTGTTTGGTGTCTGTACACAACCTGAGATTTCCAAAATGTTCCCCGAGGAAGTGGGTGAATGGCCTTTCTCAGATTTTATGGATGTGGGAGTGAGGCAAGCTAAACGTCGGCCTCAATTCACACGGCAAGAGGATGGAATTTTCCAAGCCTCAAGTGGAGAAGCCATGTTCCATGTCCTTCTGTCTAAAGGTTGTGTTTTGACCTTCTGCTGAGGTCAGTATGTCCAGGAGAGGTTGGCTGTATCATAGCCTATCAATGACTTCTTTAGTTTGCCTATCAAACGTCCAGTGCCTCTGAGGTCTCGGGCACCCTACTCAGTGTGTGGAGTGCAGGGTGAATAAGACTTGGTCCTGCCCTTGAAAAGTTGTCCAATTTTCCCACCCAGACATCTGTCCTCCTTCAACCTCAGCGTTCCCCTGCCCAATCTAGTGGTGACAGGGGTGTGGGCACTGGGGGAAGACCACCTGCCTTCAAATCCAGACTCTGTGTGACTAGGGCTAATGCTTTAACTTTTCTGCCCCTCGGCGTTCTCATCTGTAAAGCTGGACTACTAGTTGTGTGTAAGATAACTTGTGTGAGTAACACGATACAGTATAGCTTTTGTTTTCAAGTTCCTTAATGATGAGTATCACCTGGAATGATTGTTAAAAATACAGTTT